AAACGTATCAAAGGAAGCACCAGGATCATAGCTAAGTACTTCCTTGTATCCTGACATTTTGAGCGTAATCATAGCTAAGTATGATTTCATAATTGTTTGGTTCCTTGATGTTTTCTGTGCCCTGAAATTCGGGAATAATCATAGCTAAGTATCATCCTTTGGCCCTGTCCGATTCGTCAGTTTCTTTGGGAAAAGCCATAGCCACACTGTATGATTTGGGAGTTTCTGATTCCGTATACCCTGAAGTGATTCGAGGGTGTTAATGTCAGAGGTGCTCTCCTTCAAATCAACTTCTTGGTATTCTGGCAAAAGATGGTCCGTACTACAACTCATGTTTCCTAAAACCGAATCAAATTGCCTTCCCTCGGAATACAAATCGATTCTGACAATCTTGCTGTCCCTGAAGTTAATAGCTGGTTGTGATAAGACCTTCTTGTTTTTCCTAAAGGCCTGAGACGCTCCTATAGGGATATGGTTCAGGTGCAACTCGTTAGCCGCTGCAAAAGCAACAGGGGTTATGTTGGGGTTATATTAGGGTTTTATTGGGGTTATATTTGGATTATGTTGGGGTTATATTAGGCTTATATTGGGGTTATACTAGGGTCCTATTAGGGGTTATCTTAGGGTTATATTGGGGTTATATTAGGGCTATATTGGGGTTATAAAAGTTATATTGGGGTTATACTGGAGCATAAGACAGGCAGCTGCCGCCCGACACTTGGGCAGGAGTGATCTTATGGCCCTCGCGTTGAGCTCTGGAATTTTTTAGGGATGGCCCAAAGATGAAGGAGAAGGAACCTTTTCCTGAGCATTTGAATGTTACAACTAAGACTCAGAACAACCCTCTTGCAGCGCATGCACCTGCAAAGTCGCTAAGATGCGGCAGCAGATTTACACACAGCTTGAAGCCAAGCTATAATGCCACTTGTCCAGGGATTGTACAAAGTCAGCTGCTGCTGAGTAGATCGAGGTCATCACATGGGAGCAACTAAAACTTACTGTTCTTAGAATGCCTGGCTTTGACTTGGGCAGCGATGTCCTCCTTTTCTGTCTCGCTGTCACCGTTGACAACCTTCGAAGGCATACTCACCATGGGTCGTACGGAGATTGAACACGGATTGGCAGCTTTTAACTCATAGGCTCGGGACTCGAAGCTCAAATAAGAAAAAACACTCCCCACGACGCAGCCCTCGTAGTGACTGGCCATGTCAATGTAAGCTCCGGACCCGCTTCACAAGAATCTCCTGGGCTGCAAGGGTTTTCCTATGAAGGGCTTATAAGGGCTTGAAGCTTGAGATAGTTTCCACGCTTGAAACGCCTGTATATGTCCGCAGCTCCTGCATGGATGCCGCAGAAAAATCTCTAATGCTGCCCGAGGCTTCATGAGGCTCGACAACTTCTCCCAGACCCTATACCTTTATAAAACCTCCGGGACTCTGTGCTAATGAAGGGGGTCAAGACTCCTGCCTGACCCTGCTTACCGAAAAGCTTGGTAACGGATGCAATAATGTCAAAAAAAAAGCGGTCAGGAAAGATCTATGTAACCCTTATAACCCCAATATAACCACAAGATAACCCTAATATAACCCCAATAGAACCCTAAAATCACCCCAATGTGGCACAGTCCCGACAACTAACATGGATACCCACGAAGGGTCCCGAAAGGCCGCTTGAATTTGGCAAGTTCCAAGTTTGTTGGAGGGGCGCATACCACAGGGTTTACTTGTGATTTCGGGTGGTATGCTATAGAACCGTAAAATAATCCATAACAAGCCCCAGAAGGAACTACATAAGAGCCTCTAAACCTGAAACCGTAGATACTCCCCCTTAAGTCCATAGAACATGGAACTGCCCAATATCATAATCAGATCCCCATATATCCCACATTCTATCTACTTAAGGGAAACTATACCCTTAACCCCAAACCGTAAACCCTGATTCTCTACATAAGGGGTCTATAACCTTGTCTCGCCAAAGTTCCCAGGCCGCGCGTTCAGAGACACGTGCCGCGGAACGCCAGTTGCTCATCAACGTCCCGTAGACGGTTCTGAAGAACTCCACCTTACTCTACATTTTGCAGTAGAGTTAGGTGGGCATATTATGCTATACATATATGTGTATATGTAGAACTACATATATATATATAAGGTTTAATGGAGGTTATGGAGAATCAAATGGAAGAGAACATGGAAAGTCTAATGGAAGCTGGGAGGATATACGCAGGACTTAATTAAGCTTCTATAGGGTTCAGGCAGGTCTAATAAGTAGGAGACATTAATCTTATCTGTGATAGCAATAGCCATAGGGAGGGGGGCATATGTTATAACCCGGTCAGAGTTTGAGTGTTTTCCTATTTGGACTTTACATACTGGTGGTTAGTGGGGCTTTGTAACTGGCAAGTATACAGGGGCTTTCCAAATAATCACTTCTGTCAACGGGCCGATACCATATCCAGGTGCTCCCCTCCATGCTACACACACATACGCATGCACCTGTTCTTTGGTCGTGTGTACATATACATAGGCAAATTTATGCATACGCACAGGATCAATTTACGCATGTACCGCCCAAGATTCCTGACGAAGACTTGTCTAAGCCCAGCAACCCTGCAAGGCAACCCTCCGGCAGTTGGTTGTACATGATTGTACACATGTGAAGAAGGTTTTGGAACCCGAAACCGGTACTAACCCTATATAGTCCCATATAACCCGATATAACCCCATATAACCCTATATAATCCCTTATCTCCATGAAAGGGTACTTTAAAAGACGGGTCGAGTCATGGTAGTTTCCTTACATAAGGGGAACCCAATATAGACCCCAAAATACGAGAATCACAGTGAAAGCCCCCCTCCAAAAGGTACCCCGAATTTTGAGAGGCCCTAAACCCTGTATATATATATATACATATATATAGACCCCATATAACCCCTATAAATCAATTTCAAGGTACCCCTAGTTTTAGGAGACCCCTCATGGGGTCCTTCCTTTCTCGCTTTGGGATAAGCCCTCGTGCCCAAAGCTCGTCACCCTGTCGAGGCCTCGAATCTTAACACCCATGCCCCTTCTTTGTTTAGGGCTCAAGGTTTAATCTCCACCCCTAATATTAAGCCCCCCACCACCCCCCAATATTAAATACTCCTAAGATACTATACTTTACCACAATGAGGAGTACTTAATATAAAAAAGGGGAGGTGGGTGGAGGGTAATATTAGGGGGAAGGGATTAGGTATGCAAGCTTGCGATCTGCTAGCACGCACGCCCAAATCACAGCAATCAGGGTTTTTCAAGGAGACCAATACCCCTTGATTCAGGAACATGGCTTACATATTAGGGACCTTAATACGATTTAGGGTATATACCATAATTAAGGGGTGTTGGGATGTCTGGGTTGTTGATGATGCTGGATCCCCTCTAGGAGGTCCCTGTACTTCAAGAGAAGGCTGAAGCAGCCAGCCCTCCTGTTAAAGGGATGCGGCTTGAACTACCTCAACATGGAGGTTGCCCAAAGTTATCGTTCCTTTCGGCTGCCCTTTATACTTATAATTCCTAAACCCAACCCTAACCTTTATATGGTTGTATATGCAAAGCTGCAGTCTGGCCACGAAGTTTGCTAGCTCGGTATCCACATTCCAAGCTTCGCCAATCAACGGTGGATCGAGGAACCGATGAGGCAGTAAGCTCTTGAAGACCTGGCTTGAAGAGTTTATAGAAGCATTCATGAATGCCTTTTGTCCCACTATAACCCTGTAACAGCTCCCATTTTGTTTTCCCTTCCCATATTCCCATCCTAACCTCCCGCGGAGCTCGATAGTAGCCCCCGAGCCCTTACCTGCTCAACGCCCCTATAAGAGTCCCCCATATAACGTCCTTAAAGGAATTGAGACTATAGCTCATGCAGCAGAACTCTCGCCCCTGCATATGCTCCATGAAAGACCGGAAAAAGGTCCCTCATCCCTACAGACTGAAAGGCCTTCAGCTTCGTTCCCTACCACCTCCTAAGGCCTCCTGACAAATTCTAAGCCGTCCCTAAGGATTTGAAGGGCCGCAGGCGGTCTCCTTTATGGGACTTCCATGAAGGGAGTCCCCTCAAGGCTTCCTAAACAAATCCAATCTGATGTCCGAGCTGCCTGTATCTGGCCTTGTGGCTTTATCAGGCCCCTTAGCCAGATCACACGCGGCATCACCAGGAACAGGTCCACATCGCACTCCTCGCCTCAAGAGACAGATGCCCTACCATACTATAGGTTTACAGATTATAGGGTCTAAAACGCACCTCGCACCATATGTCAAGGGACTGTGTTGGCTTTAAAAGCACCAGCGGTAGAACATAGGTATGACAGGGTTATATATACAGGGGTTTGAACACTTAATGTTTGGGGCTACAATCTTGCTTATTTAGCGGCTCAAGGACCATGGATCATGGCTTAATGATAGCGTCGTTCTTTAAAGGGTAGATGGGGCCCCTAAGCCTCACATCCTTTTGGACATACCTTGAAAAATCCCTGGAACACTTAAGACTAGAGGGTTTTGAGGTGCAAGGGCTGGGGCTGAACTTGCTAGATCCTGGTGCGTTTCTGGAGGCTTCAAGAATGTTTAGGGTTTAGGGTTTAGGGTTTAGGGTTTAGGGTGCTAGCCCCGACATCTGGGCCCAGGTGGAGGATGCCATGTTAATGTTACCTGACATTTGACCCTCCTTTAAAGGGTAGATGGGGCCCCCAAGCCTCACATCCTTTTGGACATACCCAATGACCCACCCCATGGGTAACCTGGAGGCAGCCTCTTGAGGTTGAGGGCGCAGGACATTCAGATAGATCCTTCCTACGTAAAACAAAAGAATCTAAACAACACAGTGACTCATGGTGGGTATCTTTCAAAGCAGCGCCCTTGATAACTTGATGCTGCGAGGACGTTTTAGGGCGAGGTAGGAATCTTTCGCAAAGTATAATGTAGGGTTTAGAGTTTAGGGTGTAGGAAGTGTGCCCACTCATAATGTCATATGCTAGCCACAAATCCCTGATCTGCGTATTGACTAATTGGTAGCTCACTAACACACTGCTGATCTGCAAAGGTCAAGCTTATGCCTGTCCGCAATGGACTTTAATATGAGCCTTTGTCTAAACTCCTAGTATCCCGCTTAATAACCCTTATAGTAGTCCCCTATATAATCCCCTATATAACCCCCCTTTAAGGAGTTTAGACTCATATGAGCCCTGTTACGGCCACAGTATGCATGCAAGTCAGCAAAATGCATGTCAAAAGGATGCAAAGGAGGCAAGGTCTAGCATGAAGCCACAGGCATTGGCACTATATGACCTTACCCAAGCCAGTAAGACGTCGAGCTGCACATCGTCCGCAGATTTGGCGCAACATGCTGCGCTAACCGAATTTCGGCCACGAGATCGCAGATGCCATTCCTGAGGAAAGTCCAGGAAATCTGCAAATGCCTACCAAGACTTCTGCAGCCCCTTAGCTCTGAAATTGCGGAACGGATTTTATCAAACTGAGTGAGTTGTGAAAATCTGGGATGTTCCGAACAGCCCAGCAATCTCGCCGGCAAGAAATAAATCTTGCGTGACACGAAATACGGGCCATAAATGCCTCCTTTCTTTGGGTCCTTTTAAAAGATACAAGACCCTGCGGTCAGACAGATTGCCATGGTGTAGTACCAGAATAAACCAAAAAACATCCCTAAGGTCCGTGTGGGCATCCTGGAATGGGGAGTATCTGACGGATTCTCTGGCTTGCTGTGAAGGAACGCAAATCAAGTTATGGGTGTATAGTAAACATAAGGTTTCCTTATTATAGTGACCTTAAACCCTCCATACCTTTACTATGGTAACCGTAATGTAAGCTCCCCAACAACAACCCAGTTGTGTAAAGCATTCTGGCGGCAGCAACAACTCGTTCTGCACATAGCGGGCGCCCACCTCCCAGCTTTCCTCCCAATCCTGAGGCTTGCAGTGCCTTATTGGGGGACTAGGGTTTAAGGTTTTGGAGAACTAGGGCTTTAAGGTTTAAGGTTCAGTGTTTAGTCTACTTTTAAACCCCTAAATAGAAGCCACAAAATAACCCAAAACGCACCCATTAACCTACTTACCAAGTCCCCTTGACCCTCCAAGTAATACATGAAACCATCTTTTAGGCGTGCTCAGGAAGTTTTTCTTTGTACCCTTAGGGTTTGTATTCTTGGATCTGGATCCGTGAGCCATGACGTCTGGCTGTCTTAAAGTCTTTGAACTGTTTTTTCAAAGGGGTCTATATGTAGGCTGACTCCTTTCTGTAAGGGAATGTAAAGTCTGCGGATCACTTTGGATGTAAATGTAGCTGAGGGGTTTGAACACATGGACTGGAGATATTGGTCACTTTACCAGGTGCCAGTTGCTTAGGTGTAGCATGGCGCTGCTCTTTGAACGAGAACGAGTGCTCCGCAGCTTACACCCGTGCTTGGTATAGCGAATACCCCCCCTCTCCTTTATATGAAAAACGGCAAACCCTCCACCTCTGAATAACATCTCTCTAAAAAATTGGGATATATAGGTTTCATGTGGGGATATACGGGGATCATATAGAAAATGTAGGGGTTGACGAGCGCACCATCTTTGGAACATTCGTTGTTTTGTCCAGGCCGTGGCTTGATTATTGGGGAGGTGGGGTTAGCTGCAGGCCAGGCTTCGACCAACCTTGTGACAAGGCCCGCATTGTTGCAAAGATGCGGGTCCACCCTTTCTAGGCCTGGAGAGGCAGTCTTTAAGCAAAAGTTATGGAGTAGAGTTTAGGGAGTAGGTTTACTGCAAGGGAGAGGGGCGTTCCGGGGTGGCAAGCAAGTAAGGGCTTCTGCGCTGATAGAAGAGGATGAGCAGATTCCAGCCTCAGCCCTCGCCTGGCACGTGAGGTCATGTGGCAGGTCACCATGTTCAAAGCAATACTCTGTCGAGTGGCCACAGGATGTCCCCAATTGTGAACGGTGATCAATTACTGCTGGAACTACACATGCAGCAAGCACCGCCAGGCAAGCTGCAAATGCAGCTCGCTGTTCTAAGGTCTTGGCACTTGCCAATCTCTCTCAAGTAGAAACGCATGGCCACGAACGACCTGAAAGTGACTAGAAGGCGGGGGCATTCACGTGTGGTTGCTCAGCAATGGGCTCTCAGTACCACACAGGGAAACGACCCAAAGAGCCGAATGCAGCATGCACCTGAATGTATGCCAAATCACTCCACCACATCTCCGCAGAGCGTTCGTGCAGCTGCGGAAAGTTCGGTGCTCTGGCCATTCCTCTCAAGCAGGACACGCCCTTTTTGCTGCTGGACTTGTTCAATCGCCTTAATCCCTTAATAGTAGTTTCCATTTTATTTTCCAGTATCCCAATACAACCCAATATAATCCAACATAACGAACTTTCAAGCGCTTCTGGGTTGTGAGTGATCTACGTTTACATTTTCAAAGGCTGGAAGATCCTTCGGTTCATGTCTGCGTGCTACTTAGCCCGTTGCTGAGGAACGTGACGTAGTCTTTCGAAGCGCTGCAGACAGTGGGCTCCATCAAGAATCCTACCTTTTTGCTGATGGTGAGGATTCCCACCCCTGTGCTGTGTACCCTCTATAGGAACCGAGAGCTATTACGAGTAGCGCAGAGTACACGCCCCCACGCTCATCACCTGAAGTGGTTTCCAGGTCTCCTCTCAGCAGCATCACAGCGCTGTATAGTCCGCACGGCATCGAACCTTGTTGGTGCTACCACTAACACATACAAACGCTGCAAGATGACTCTAAAACAACAGTTGATCGCAGAATCAGGATGCTTTTGTGTCTCATCAGGTCTTCTTACTGGACTTCACTTGCGCAACCAGGCTCATAGCTACTCAACAACCTCCATAGATTCCTTGGCCAGTACCTACGAGTCCTTACCGTAGAGCCTCTGCGGAATGTATGGCAATTTCATGCGTCATCTAGGTTTCTCTGACGAGCTGCAAGACCTCGGCCGGCAGGTCATCACGACCCTTTCGACGAAAATTCGCAACCTCAGTTGCTTACTGGTCGCTAGTATTGAAAAGGGGAAATAATCCCCATATAACCCTACATAAGCCATTCCCTTATTATTCCCTGCTAAGAACCAGTAAGTTTGGCGTGGTCTCGAAACTTGTAGTCTAAACGGCAGCGGGAATTACAGGGATTATCTCAGGGTCGTATCTGGAGCTTCTACAGATTGAATGGGTGTTGAAGAATTATGGCTTTGCACATGTTGTAGCTTCATGCTTTACGCCGCGAGCGGTGTCTGTTGTCCCTGCACATTGTTGCCACCTATGTTAGCACCCAACCGGAAATCTAGCTGCTGTGGACTCGACAGGTAGTAGTTTCTACTTTCATTTCCATTATCCCAATATATAGCCCCAATAGATCCCCGACAAATAGCCCGATTATAACCCCAATATAACCCTAAAATAACTCCAATACAAACCCAATATAACCCTCATATAACCCTAATATAACCCTAATATAGCCCCAATATAACCCCAAGATACCCCTAATATTACCCCAATATAACCCTCATATAACCCTAATATAACCCCAACATAACCCATTATAAAGTCCCATGGAGGGCTTCAAGGGCAATCGGCCCCGATGCAAGATGCTAAGCCGCTAGGCCTGCGAGGCATACTTCCAATTTCTGCGACTCATACCGGTAAGCTGATCCCAGACTCCTGGAAGGATCTAAAAATTTGATCCCCTAAATAGACCCATTATAACCCATACATAACCCTTATATAATTTCCCATATGGTTCTAGGGGATCTAAGTTTTAGATCCCTTTGGGGGTCTGGGGAGGATATGTTAGGAACGTGGGAAGTTTGCAGGATTCTACATGGACGCCAAAGAACCCGCATGGTTTTCAGAATCTTCAATGTAATCAGCGTGTAAGACGTGCATTTGAATTACGTAGGGTAGGACATCATGTGGAGAGGAGGCAGGAACTTGAGGGTGCATCAGAATCAGTGTTGTGTACATACCACTCCCATAACTGTCGCCTTTCAGGGTTCGTATGTCAGAATTTGCACTGGGCACAATTAACTAACCATCTGGAGATCTGGCCAGAGTTTGCGGTGCTGAGTCGAGGACTGAATTCAAATATGAGATGCATCCGACAAGCTTCCTGCGGGCGAGCACGCTGAGGCTGGGATGCTTCAACGACAGATGGCTACCCTTGCTGGGGAAGCGAAACAAATACGTAGGGGCTAGGTACGGCGTCGCCAAAGCCACCACGTTGGCACATATCCATGTATCGTGCAGCTTGAACAGCAGACTCCACTTGAGAAGTACTTCGGACAGCCTTGGACAACTACCAACCTGGGGCTTTCTTACAGTTACCGCAGCGGGCTGCTAAATCTATACCTGCGTATTTGCAAAATAGCCTCAAAAAGAGCTCATGAAAATCCCTAAATCAGAGGAAACCTACATGCACCCACTAAACCTTTTTCGAACACCGGAACTGAGCTGCATGGCAGGAAGTCCATCTGAGCTATGCCGCAAGGACTGCCACGCGTGAAGACTGTCATGTATCCTAACTGTCACGAGTCACCATCAACTTGTTCAAAAGGATGACCTCCAAAAAGGCAAAAAAAATAGCTGAACGGATGGTCAATCCCCTCAACCTGCCTTTTCAACCCGGACTTGAGCCCAAACCTCCCTAAAGCCTAAACATCCCTAAACCCTAAACCCTAGCCCTGAACCCTAAACCTGAAACCCTAAACCCTAAACCCTGAACCCTTAACCCTAGCCCTGAACCCTGAACCTGAAACCCCCTATCGTCTTTGCATCCTTTGGGTAACACACGGCCTCTGCTCCGATTGGTAATCTGGCTGTGCCAGCAATGCCTGGCTTAAGAAAGCCACAGGCTCCTAGGAGTAAGGATTTAGGGTACATAGGGGGAAGGGTTTGGGCTATATAGGGTGTGGTGTTTAGGGTATAACGACAGTCTAGGGCATATAGGGTGTAGGGTTTGGGTCGTAGGATTTAATTAGGGTATATATGCTACCTGTAGGGGGAGGTGTAGGATTTAGGGAATCTCGTGACACAGCTGAAGTCTATAATACAAGAAGAATTTTGCGAAAAATCTGTTGGCTTACATGCGTGCGCGTGCACATAGACACACGTCTATATACATGTAAAAATGTGTATGCGTGAGCATACTTACGCATCTATTAAAACAAGCATATACATGTGTACAGACACACGCAGACTTACTTGTTCTTCTATGCTTGAGTGTCTTACCCCTTCGAAAGCTTCGAAGTCGACTTGAATGGGGGTGCTCATGTTGAGTTGGTCTGGGTCAAGGTATGATAAGGTATGGCTTTTGAACGTCTAGTCACCCGAAAGTAGATAGAATATGGCTTTGGGTATATTATAATAAGGTTCCAATATAATTGCCCTTTTTCTATCTACTTAAGGTAAATCCCAAGCCCAAAAAGTGTCCGGGTTCCTATCTGGTAACCAGGGGCTCCTATGTGGGCTAAGCTCCTTCCCACGAAAAGCATCCACCCCTAAAACGTTGAAACTCCCTCTAAGCATGCACACGTCATCTTCTTTGGGGATGATCTGACAATGGCTAGACAAAGTAAATGGCCCTTACAGGACATGTCAAGATGCAAGTGGGGGCATGATCAACTCTGGCTCAACACATATTACACATCAAATTGCATTGAGCAGGTCGGCAGACTGCACTCTGGAGACGCTCGGTGTGCAAGGCACTTAGACACCCAAGATTCGCTCGTATAAGCCTATAACCTGCAAGTGCAAGCCTATGGCTACCGGCAAGAACTCAAAGAGAGACACAGGCTTTCAAATTAACATCTAGACAGGCCTTGCTTGAGACAATCTACAAACAAACTTAGAAACTGGATCTTGGAACCCAACACTTTCCTGGCAAATGTACACACAGCATGACGCGAGGGCAAAACTATCTACGCTTGACGACGGCATGCAATCCTGGGAGAAAGCTAGGCAAGTACATGGCATCAGACTAGTGACTAGTCTTAGCTGTGAAAGAAGTCAAGAAACAAGGGATATTACCTAGTTGTAATTTGGGTTTCCCCTACATAGCCCTAGACCCCATAAACGCCTTATAAACACAGTTTCCACCTCATGTTCCCTTTTTTTCTCATCTGATTCTCCACTGTTGAGATAACATCTCTGGCGTCTGAACCCTATACATCCCGACATGATCCCTAAAACTCTGTAAACACACATAACTCCTGTAAGCCCCTCTCAAGGGACCCTACATGTCCCTAGGATGGGATTGGCCTCAGTCTCTCCGTAGCGTGTTTCCAGGTCTCGGAGGCGCCTGTAACGGAGGGTCGACCCACGATTGGCCAGAAAATGACAGGGGCTTCTGGAGGCATTCTAGAGTTTGGGGGATTTTGTGTCAGTGGAGTTTACTCCAAGCAGACTTTTAGTGATTATAGAGGGTAATCAAGATTCGCTTGGGATCCTCTTGCTGAATAAGCTATGCAGCGGTTGTTTGAAAAGCTGCCCCGGGCGCAATTGTTCCCCGCCACGCCGTGCACAGCGTCGTGGTCCAGTTATGTAGTCTAGCCAAGTCAAACCCTCTAACCCCATGTCCCATTATGATCCCTAGAACTCTATGTAATCCCTATATTGGGACCCTACCCGTTAACCGCTACGCTGCCTCTCGCTTTCCACCGCCTGGACGATCAGCTTACGTGCCTCACGGATTGTGCGGTTCAACGGTTCAGGGTTTAGGGGTCTGGGAATTAGGGTTCAGGATGATCGGGAAATCTTAAAAGGAGCAGTAGCAGTCATAGTAGTGGCAGAGGATTACTTCGCAGGACTTGGGTTCTATTCTGGCCCGGGGGTGAGGGAGGATTTAAATTGAGAGGTTTGCCAGCTTTGCTGCCCCTGCCTGCCCTCCGGCCATGTGGATCTGAAACCTTAGGCCTAAACTCTAGATACTAGAAACAATAATAGGACTACTTGATAGTAAGAATAATAGCAGAAATAACCGTAATAGTAGTAAGATGTGTAACGATTCTTGTTTCCAGCTTCTTCCTCGGAGAGATCATGTCCGCTGAGCCGTCATCTCTGGGGCCTTGGGCCTTCTGTTTCTTTGATGACGGGTTGGCTGAGATTTGTAACCCAAACCACCCAAAAGGATCCAACAAATGGAATCCCCCAATATGACCCCCATTGCTACATTGGGCAAATTAGCTGGGGGGTTCTAATTTTTGGATCCTTTAGGGGGTCCGGGAATGCCTGCATTGAGATTAAGGATGAAAGCGTCAGATGGCTTTCGTGGGACTTCAGTGTACTTCTTATGAGCTTTGTGTAACGAAAAAGAGAGGAGAGCAAGAACCATCAGTATTGACAAGTCAAGGCCTGCAACAAAAGAGGTCTCAATGACTATAGTCCTGCTTAAGTAGATAGAATATGGCCTGGGGTATATTATAATAAGATCCCTACATACCCCATGTTCCATCTACTTAAGGGGGACTATACGTTTTGACTCCTCGAGCCCTGAACCTGCAAACTGGCGACCCGCACTGACTGCCGCCCTAACCCCTCAACCTTGAGACCCCAACTACCCAATATACTATAGTAGTTTCCATTTTCTTGGCCAATCCCAATGTTGCCCCAATATACTATAGTGGTTCCATGTTCTTTTCCATTATCCCAATATTGCCCCAATATACTATGGTAGTTTCCATTTCTTTTCCATTATCCCAATATTAGGGGTCATAGGGCACGCAAATCTCCCAGCACCCCGACCCTGAAGCGCTACACAGCGATTGCTTGCCTGATCCTCAATCTGGATGAGCTCACTGATGTACTTCTTCTCAAATGATGCCCAGGCAGCGTCCAAGGTCACCTGCAAACACGGCTCCGCCCACGTTGTCTGACCCCCCTGCAACAGTAAGGCCCCCCAACACCCCTGGTACTAAGAAATCTCAACGAGGCACCAAATGGTTTAGGGGATTTTTTTCTCATTGGGAGGGGTGCGAATTGAAATTGCAGTAGGTACCAACTAGGGGCTTGAAAGGGTTCCAAGATTGCAAGGCCTCGCACGGGTCAGGATACTGACTCAGGCATCAATTAGAAAGCGTAGCCGTAAAGGGAACCCTTAGTGTTCTCAGAAAGTGAATACAGTGGTTTAGGGAAAGTTTGCGTGGACAAAGCCATCGCTAAAATGCCGCACCCACATAGAGAACATAATCTTACTCGGTCTATGTTCAAGGTCCTCAGGGACCCTAGGGATATACATAAATTATTACATATATTGCATATGTAGAGGGATACTTGTATTGGAGTATGGGGTGGCGATTAAGAGTTCCATCTGCACAAGATGCGTTATGTTCAGAAACTCACGCGTGTGAATGTACTTGGCTTGGTCTTGTACATGCCCTCTCAAATCCAACTAGAACCCTTATCTTTGGCGTCCCTACACTTGTTCTGCCCCAAAACGAACATTAAAGCCCAAAGGGGCCCGCCCATTTAAAAGGTGGAGCGATATGGGGTTTCCATGCTTGTGGAGGCAGGTAGTTAAGGAGTACCTAGATAGCACTAGGAACCCTAATGGAATCTATGGCACTTTCCTTCATCTTGGGCTTCCTGCCCCAACCCCTAAACCCTGTACATCCCACAGACCTCTATCTGTTTCCAATATGCCTTATTTACTCCAACATACCCCTTGGCACTTTGTATAAACATGGGGACACCCACATTCAGACCCCAAAATGAGAAGATCCTTCTGTGTGTATATATATATATGTATGTGTGTATGTGTTAAAACCAAGATATATATATATATGGGTAGTTGTCAAAATTATGGTCCCTTGTTGGGTACCCTAAATCTTAGGGGCCGTATTATAATAGGGACCCAAAAAGGGACCATAATTTTGATAACCACCCATATTATATTCATATAGCAAACCCAAAAAAGCAACCTGAACCCTAAACACCCTTCAGGCCCTGGCCAAAGCTCCGCGCACTTCTGTGCGCTCGGGCCGATCATTGCCGCTGCCACCTGGCTGCCAGCCTCAGGCAGTGTGTCTCTTGAGTTGGGGTTTAGGGGACTATTGGGTTATGTAAGGAAACTACTGTAGTATAGGGCTATATAGGGATAATGGAAAAGAAAATGGAAACTACTGTAGTATAGGGCTATATAGGGGCTATATAATGATAATGGAAAAGAAAATGGAAACAACTATATTATACTCGGGTATAGAATGGGGTGATAGTAGGGAATAAAGGCAAGAATATATAGTGTAGTATATAGGGATAATCAGGGACCCTGTTCCCTTATTCCCCAGTAAGAGCGTCGTTTCTGCTATGATGCGCTTGAGCTATAGTCTAAACTCCTTAAGGGATCCAGGAATTATATAGGGTTTAGGAATTAAGGTTTAGGGCTTCCACTCCTTAAAGGGGATTATATCAGGGATTCTATAGGGGACTACCATAGGGTTTGCTAATGGGGATGCTCGGAGTTCAGACTATGACTCACTTGCATGTTCAAGGTAACTACACGAAACCCTAAACCCTAAGCCCTAAAACCGTAAACCCTAAAACCCTGAAACCCTGAAACCCTAAACCCTAAAACCCTAAAACCCTAAACCCTAAGACCCTAAAACCCTAAACGTATGACCTAGTTCTGACCAGGCGACTTAGTGGCCTTTGTAATTGAGACAAGTATAATTTAGGTGGACCCCACTCAGTAATAGTCACTCTAGGGGATAACAGGAATTATATTGGGGTCCTCTTATATTCCTATTATACGACGATTACAGGGCTCCTAAAGTAGAATCATGTTATAAATGCTCTGAATCTCCAAGTAGGGGCCTAGATGCCCTCCTAAGGGGTTATTATATAGGGGTAAATCAGGTCGGTTTGAACGGGTTTTAGGTGTACACATAGCCTTTTGTGGCTTAAACAAGTAGGAGAAAGGAAAAATGCCTCGAAACTGCGTTGTTATAGGGTCAGTTGTATGGCTTAGTAGAATCAAAATAAAGACTGGCAAACTTTGAAGCGTCTATGTTATTCCGGGATATTCAGGTGTGTATTATATAATTTTTTAGGGAGTCTGACGGAATAGGATTAACAACTACTCAGGCTTCCACACTAGTTTGGGTTAGGACCTAACCCAGCGAAAGGGATGTAATAGGAATATGTGGGGACTCTGGTGCAGGTACCGTTATCCTGGCCTAAACGAGAATTGTTGAATAACACTTTTTGAGCTCGCCCAGGTTTCCGTTTGGGAGTTCTGAACCAAAAGATTAGGGTCTAGGGATCAGGGATTTAGGGATTAGGGTTTCGGGTTCAGGGTTCAGAAGGGGGATCCCAGCTTTTGGAGATCACCATAACGAAATATGAGCAAAGATGAGAACACCAACATTATGATCATGCCACCAATTATGCAACGGGGCGGTGTGATTCTTCAGGGAAGTATACTACCTCCAGAGCTTTGGGTTTTTCAAGGGATTACCATACTGGGGGTGAGTGGGGAATAATGGAATATACTCCCTGTATAATATTCCTTTGTTCCTACAATAACCCCAATCTATATATATATATACACCCTCTTGAAATGTAATAGGGTATGTAATATGACAGTTTCCATGTTCTTTTCCCTAAACCCTAAACCCTAAACCCTAGCACTTCCCTGGACCGCTGGGACTGCTGCGGTCAAGAAGGAGGCACATGTCTGACCATCCGCGCTGCAGATCTTCGGCACACTGCATGGCCTCAGAGTTCCCAGACCCCCAAAGGGATCCCAAAATTAGATCCCCTGTAACCATATGGGAAACTATATAAGGATTATATGGGGGTTATAATGGGTCGATATTGGGGATCTGATTTTTAGATCATCCCAGGTGTCTGGGTTGGAGGGTGAAGCTCATAGGCCAAACATAGAGGCCCTCAATATGCACCCAAATATATTTCTAACCTGAGAGTAAGGGCCCCCCAGAAAGGCACCCCTAATTTTCGGAAGCTCTAGATTCTGCCATTAGAAGGGCCGGCAGACTGGTGACGGACAGATTTTCCTGGAGGGGCTTGATTCTGTGAGAGTGTAAGGCATAAGGGCATGAGTCAAAGCTGCCAACAGCACAGTTGACCTAGACGCTTGCGCATGGCTTCCCGTTCTCCAGAGAATGTGTCATGTGACAAAGTCAGCAAAGGAATCAACAGGTTGAACATGAGGGTGCCAGGGTTGTAACGCTGGTGGGCTGGAGAAGAGTGCGTGGTATACCGACTTCCTCTTCATGCAATGACACTGCTACGGTTCCTACAAATCTGCGCAGTGCTACACACGCCAACGCCACTGCACCTGATTAATGTGACTTAGACATTGCCAGTGTCGACTTAGACATTGCCAGTTGAGTTACTACATTCTCTGGCTTGCAGATCATGCAGGCTCTGTGGCTAAAAGATCAGAAAGTAGCGGCCCTTGCGGGAAGAGCACTTCCTCCCCAGCTACCTACTGAGCATGCTTTAGCTGCTCTTACATGGATGTTTCTCAATGTGCCCTTATATAATCCCCACTCACTGGGGGCCCCACAATGCCTTTGAAAATCCCCATGCATGTTTTAGGGCCCCTGAAAGGAGAACCTCCAAATGACTGCCCCGCTATCACAGGCACCTATCCTATCTGAGGATGGCCTCCTGGCTGAACTCGAACTTGTCACCGTTAACCTCGCCAAGTCAGTTTTTAACATCCCGCATTGGGGATGTTGAGGTCCCGGGTCACTGTGAGGTGAAGGCTAAAGGGCGTGATCAAGCTTGGCCAAGATGTGTATAAGCCCCCCAAACTCAGCTCCGTTGTTCACAGCAAGATTTCATCTTGAAATTCGGAATGTAAAGTACTGCCACCGTTGCGGGCAGGTGTCTTCAGGCCTGCGTGACAGAGGGGCCCGGAGGGCGACAAAATGTAAGGCTACAACTGAGCCCCGAACAAGCGTGCAACCCGAAACAGGCCCCATCAAAACAGCCATCTGTTTCAGACTGTCTCAGGTGTGCTTCCGTGTTTGTTGGTATCGGTACATGCTCATCTATGAACTCGTTGACCTTGATACGGCTTAGTCCTTATCTACCAAAAATTAAACTTCTATCTATATTTTCCGTTATCCCTACATGGGGAGTTTTTGGTCGAAAAGTTCTGGGCCGCCCCTTAGTTACACTTGTTTGCCCGGATTTTTTGGGGGGATAAGATAGATGGACCCTAGCAATCAGAACACACCCAAACGCCAATCGAAAAGCCGAGATTTCCTGAAACCCTCTCCTTCAGGGTTCATGGGTAGTTATATAATATGGGTGGTTGTCAAAATTATGGTCCCTTTTTGGGTCCCTATTATAATACGGCACCTAATATTTAGGGTACCCAAAAAAAAGGACCATAATTCTGACAACCACCCATATAAGTTACAAGCAAGTATAGCTATCGTACTTACGGGAACCCGGCTTAACTACCCGTGAACCAAGTAGATCCTAGCCCCTGTCAATCACTGATAGCACATCACAGCCAAGGCACCCAAATGACGGCGTTCTGCTCAATGCTGGCTTCCAGTATATCCACACGATAATTTCGAGACCTTGGCTTCACAAACTTGATCTGGGAGACCTCTTAAATCTAGGTACTGCTCCTAGGAGGTGCAATGACCGATAGCTTTTCGTGGGCGATTATGGAGATGTTTCCGGTTGAGGGGCATATGGGGTGCAACAGCCACATTTGGGATTGTCTTTATTTCAAGAAAAGGAAGCTTGGGACATATACAGCTGTGCAAAGAAAGGGCCCTTGTCACTGACCACGTTACTTCGATTGTATGTAGGGCATCCTAA